GTACTATTCTTAAGTTTTGGACATTGGGGTCTTAAATGTTGATAGGACCCACACTGATAGCATTGTGGCGTCGTTTTCGTTTTTCATATTTATCATCTGAACGTGGACTTCTAGGTCTATGAAACCAAGCTTTGCGTATTAAATCCTGATGACAATTTTTTTTTCAGTTTTATTTTTATTATCTGAACTCAATTTACCTTGAGTTAGTGCATTGTATCTTTCTTTCTGCCGATCCACTACAGGCCTTTTTTTGAAAGTTAATTTTTTAGATGAAATCATCTCTACCCATTCATCAAGAAAATGATCTCGAATTTCAGGAGGAACTCGACGTTTAAGTTGGTCAAGCACCATCAAATCTAGCAACTGATCAAAAGTCTTAACTCCTAGACCAGTCACCCATTCTTTGCAATAATTTTCTATTTCATAATTGAAATCCACCCATGTGGATTCGGTACTCTTTTGATGTTTCATAAATTTCTGCCTAAACTTTTCCGGGCTTAGTTTAAAGTTTAAACCGTCTTAACAATAAATTTTTCACGTGTTCATAGTCTTTAGCTTTATCGGAGGGTTCTCTAGCTATTAACTGGGTTACTTCGTAAGGAAGTAGTCCTAGTAAATGAGATACAAATTCTTCTTTATCAATTTTAGCCCATTCTGCTTGCCTTTCAAACAATAGCAAATATAGACTGATATCTCCTTTCTTGTCATCGAATTTCTGCATAAGGTGACGCAGCTCCGTTTTCGGCCGGATCTGTCCGGTATTTTGAGACTTTGTCTCTGCTTCAAGTCTTAATCTCTCTAATTCATACTGTTCGTTCCTTCTCCGCTCTTCTGCTTCTTCCTGTCTCCTACGTTCTTCTCTTTCCTCCCTCTCTTTCCGTTCTCTCTTCCTCTCTCTCTTTTTCTCTTTTCCCTCTCTTTCCGTTCTTCTGTTATTGTGTCTAAGACTCCTTTGACGAAGACTTCATCATAATCTCTACTTTCAACAATTTCTGTTTTAAATCTACTATTTTCAAATCTGCAGTCACATGAACTCCCAGTTCAGCCGCGAGATTTTGCAAATCTTCCTTACGAGCTCTTCCCAAGTAGGACATTTTTTTATGTTTAAAATTAACGAACACTGTGTTCTTTATATTTCCTCAAAATAGCTCAATTCAATTACTTTAGTTAATTAATGCAGTCAGGAATCACGAAATTAAATGCACTTTGTTAAGTACGTATACCTCAAAAATGAAATATTTAATTATATGAATTTCATTCTCTGTACCACATTAATTGTGATTAAAATAAGAATAATAACATAGAGCAATATATATATCTACCGTCTGGACAACTAAAATGAATATTAAATATAATATCAAATACGGTAATAAAATAAGACAATTTGTTATTAACAGGAAGTAATAATCTGGTATCACTAATATTGCGTTCAGTGATGAACTAATAACATAAAGCAATTCTATATAAACATAAGTAATAATCTGGTATCACTAATATTATGTTCAGTGATGAACTAATAAAATAAAAATACGCACGATTATTCGATCTCGGTCAGTGCCTCCAAAATAATTAAGACTGTAATACTTCTTTGGCGAAATGAAGCAACTCCAATGATGGAACACAGCAATAACTTTTATTTAACACTCAAAAAAATGGCGACATACAAACAAGAAGAGAAAACACATTCTATCATTTAAAAATAAATTGCATTCTTCGTGCGAGAGTCGCACGTGGCACTCGAGTCTGGTTTCAAATATTGCCATTAACAAATACCTTAATATTCATCTATTTAAATTATTTAAACTACAAGATTTTAATAATATGTAAAGCTGTTACAACAGCAACATTTATTTTAGTGATAAAATACCATTTAACTAAAAGTGAGAATTATTTTTCCTTTTACTTCAAAAGCATCTTTTTGTTAGAAAACTGTTTTAAAATGATATAAATATATAGTTGCGGCTTTTTTATCTCCTGAATTTTAACTTTCCTTTCTTAGTATACGACGTTTGACTACTTTTTATTTTTATTAACCACCGCATGGTAACTATTCGTGGAAAGAAAATAAAATTTATGTATATTTCTCACAATATTGCTGTCCTCCTACATATAATTTTAAAGTTTTATTTGTGTAGAAGTTTAAATCAACGTCCTTTCAAACTCTACTAGACTGATAAGCGAATTATCGCTAAAGTAACATAAGCTGAAATTCCATTTCGTGATAAAATAGTCAGAGACTGCAAAAGATAATCTACGAGCTAGTTCAAATATTTTAACGGCGCGTTTTATTGTCGGCTAGAGAAATAACTAAAGCTGGGATATTCCCTGGCAGAGCTGGGTGATCAAGCATAAACTGTAGGCAAAACAGCCAAAAGCTCTAACTTAAAACATTCAAAACCCTCTATTTAAATACTCCACCATTTAATTTGTATTGTATTAGACTAAGCAGAAGTTGCAGTAAACGTTTTCAATTATAAAATTTGGTTTATTTAACATAAAATATCTTGTACACTTTCAGATGCACTTATTTATGTAGGGAGGATTGTAATAAAAGCCTTTAGTAATCGAACATCTTACTTTTTGTGACAAATTAACTTTATTAAGCTTCTTAAAATTAGCTGCCAAGCTATTTGCATTAAGTATTCTTTCAGTACACATATTTCTTTAGAAAGAGTTTCTTTCCTTTCATTTTAAAAGTGTTATTCATTTTCTCATTTGTTTTTTATTCTGTGTTAATTAATATAGATTTTGTTCTTCAAGCTGTGACTGCTTCATAATATAATTTTAATTAAATGACTTGTGTCGTGGATTATCGAAGAAGACTCTTTGCTAATTAAGCAAATTTTTAACGTCATAATATAGATTGAATTGTCCCTTGTGGCTACGGTTTGAGAAAATGTATAACCTATTTTATACCACTGCAATTAAATTAAAAAGAACTATATTTAAGCATAAACTATACTACACTACCGCAGCTAAATGTCCTACTGAAAATTTTATATTAAATATTGTATTAATTATCCTTTCTTCTATTTTAATTAAATAGTAATCATCTATAATTTTGCATTCAGAGGATATTGTTTATCCGTTATACATACTTAAGGAAAATACGTATTGGTAAAGAAAATATATTTTAGAAAACAAAAAAAAGTTTAATCAGAAAAATTTCTTGCATTTTAATACACATAGTGTATATATAAATAGTATAGTGTATATAAATGTATACATGTATACATAAATAGTAATAGTGCATACATAAATGTTTATATTTAATTCTAAAGTGCAAAAGTTTCTTTATTTTCATGTAAAGTGAAGTTATTAGCTCACAAAATGAAATATGAGGATTGGCAGAAATTTAGTGAATTTGAGGATTATCATAATGCAGTGAAAAAGAACAAGGCAATATAATTAAAATTATGGAAGGAAAAATGTTCTGTGTTTCTTAGAGACTCTAGAATAGATTCTTAATATTTTTAATTTAACTATTTATCTTAAAACTTAAACTGTTTATCTTAAAAGAAAGGAAGTCGATTAACTACATTTGTCAAGCATTAAAGTGACAACAATATTCAGGGCTGGAGGAAGCGGATTTGCGAGGCCATCACTATAGACAGTGAACTTCTTTTTAAAGAAAGCACTTCATCGATTCACCTTTATATCAATTTTTATTTTAAAACAGGAAATATGCAGTTATGCAAGCATATTTAACACATTTTTTTAGCAATGAAACTGACTTTAGTCAGGGATGAGCAAATTTTAACGGCTCGCATTTTATCTTATCATATTCCATTTATATGCTGTGTTAACAGAAAATACAAATAATTATGTATATGAAAACATCAAATAATGATAATAATAAAAACCTCATTTGGATTGAAATCAATTACAATAATAATAATGGATAGACACTGAAAATGAAATATCTGAACCATGAAATATCATCGAAATTAAATCAAAATATTATTAGTTACCAGAAATATTCAGAATTAGTTAATAATTCAGATACGGAAAAAACATAAATTATGAATTATTACAAGATACTTCGAAGATTTCATTGTTATTATAAGAATAGTAATGAAAGTAAATTTGGAAGTTCCAGCCAACTATTAATGATAAATTAGAAGCAGTGTTTTACAGAAAACTGGTCATTCTTGGAAAAAATGTGATTATTTCTAAAAGAGGTAATCTAGGTAAATTTAGAAAAGTGTATATTATAACAAAAAATGGTAGATGCGGAGGCGATGTCAATGGCTAATTTATTCTTTCAGCGCAAATTTCTATTTTCACATTCTGTTACACACTTCATACTTGCTGAGGATGAGTCTCGTAAAAGGTTGATTATTAAAATTTAGCAACATTTTGGGCAGGAATACAGCAAATTTGATATTCATGAAAAATTTCCTGAAATAGCATCACCTCAAAACTCGAAATGATTTGTCTCTGTCCTTGGCAGGAACTAAAATGTGTTTGTTTTTATCACCGCCGAGGATTAAAATTAAAGATTTATGAAATCGTTGTTCTAGTTTTGGGATTATTTTGAAGGGTAGTAACAAAAACGAAAGACATGGTTTTAAGTTCTGCTACGCGATGTGTGATTAAAAAGGATAAATTAAAAACTCAAAACCCTTGTGAAAATATCTAATAGTTAAAATTTTCGAGCATATCAATTTTGTTTGAAATAATTTTGATTTAACTTGAAAATATTCTAAGTAGAGAATTATATTTTTCTTTAGTTTCAAGTACAGCTTTATTGCTCGATTCCTGCTCCCTGTAAAACTTAACTATACGGCTTATTTTGTGATTATTAAAGAAAATTATTCACCAGATTTGCTCTCAAAGTTTGCAGGCAGTCTTGATTTATATTGAATGTTGTACATTTTTTAAATAAATTAGTTTAAACAGCTCTTCAAATAGCTATTCAAAATTATTTCAATAAAACATTTGGGAAATAAATAGTGCTTTTGAATTTTATGATTCTACTGAGCAATTCTTTGTTTCAGGTCTGGTTCAAGAATCGAAGAGCAAAATGGAGGAAACGTGAAAGAAATGCTGCGGCCGAGCTAAAGAACGGCTTCGGTAGTCAGTTCAATGGTCTTATGCAACCTTTTGATGATGGTTTGTATCCAGGCTATTCCTCGGGATACAATTGGGCGGCCAAGGTGCCTAGTCCTCTGGGCGGCAAGAGCTTCCCTTGGCCCTCTCTTAATTCCGTCAACCCTTTAGGACAATGTTTCAACCCATCCACGCCTCCAGGCATCTCCACCGCCAGTATTGTGCCATCCGTCAGTATGGCAGCGGGGGCAAGCAGCGCGGCCGCTCCTTGTCCTTACGCCACACCTACACCTCCTTACGTTTACAGAGAACAGTGCCCTACTATGACCTCCAGTATAGCTTCGCTTAGGCTGAAAGCGAAGCAACATACGGCTGCTGGGTTTGGAACTTACGCAGGTGGGGTGTCTCCTCGCCAGACACCAACGTTATCACCCTGCCAATATGCCGCTGTTGAAAGACCTGCTGTATAGTACCCAACCACACTATATGCACAGCATTCCTGTAAGCCCAGAACTAGAAGTAAATGTGAATTTATTCTTCGCTTCTCATATGACAGACACGTAAAATGTGCAAGAAAAACGCAAATTACTTCCTTTAAGTATCCGGATACAAAAGATACTCATTTGCGAAGTTTCTATTGAGTGACAGGCATCCTGTTAGAAACAAAGAATTTACTGACCATTCTTATGACCATTGAGCAAAATGTACAGTATGATAAAATTACCATATACACACTTCGAAGAATATTTCATGCACAATACTCACGAAGAAGAGCCACAAATTGTTGAATGAGGATTTAAGAACTTCAATTTATAGTGGATATGTTGGACATTCTCAAAAGCCTATATTCAAATATGGTTGCCAAATGGAAATGCTGTTATTATTATTAGTATGTCCATTTGCTTAGTAAGTTTTATGATCCAAGATAAAACAGAATTCATGAATTGTTATTGCTGCAAAAAAACTTTCTTTTTAAATGAAGGAAATGTATCGAGTTTTAGTGAACTAATTTTAAGCTTTAAAATGTAGAAGAAATTCTTTCTTGTTTGCATTCCTTTACGTATTAAAATAAAAAAATCCTATTTAATTATTATTTTATTACCTGGATTTAACTCCTTAATCAATTTTATTAAAAAAGATTGACTTACTATACATTAAAAATTTAATTTAAAAGAAGGCATTAGTTTAATAAGCTACTAAAAGTTTGTTGTAGAAAATATTTTTAAAAAGCGTTTTATTACTGTGTTTTGAAAAAACTTTGTTTATGATAATGTATGAATGAAAGCAATGCATTGAATCTGTAAATTATATTTATTAATTTAAATTTATTTTTATACGCACATTATGCGACTGTTGTTATCTTTTCTTACTAATCTATAAACTCTTTCCTAGTGGTAATTTTGGAAAACTTAAAATGCTTTGCATATTTCAGAGTAAATGCGATAAATGTCAAAAAAATTTTATTGCTCACAAAAACAGTTATCGGTAACAATAAATGGAATACAGTTAATTTTGCTATTAAGTCAGATTAAAAGGCAGTAAAAATAATTATCAAGAAAATTTTAATTACATATTTTGCCATATTTATATAAATTTTGAAAACCCTTTGAAATTTTATTCCTCTACATTGGAAACTCACACAATCAAATGAAACTATAGAGGAAAACTACAATGTTTAATTCTAACTTTATAATTATTGTTCATTTGACATATCAGGATATCTGGTATATATTTTAAAATGGTATATAAACATAGTTTTAAATATACAAATTTGATTATTACCTTACAAAATTTCTACGCAATAAGATAGTTTACAGATAAAGAACTGTGCTGAAATTTTAGGTGTTCAGATTGTTAGCTACGTAATATAACTGAAGGCATACGTATTAACGTATGCGTTAATACGTTAATACGTATGCCTTCAATAAAACTAATTATATAATGCTAAATTACTTTTTTAAAAATCTTCCTGTTTTTCAGAAGCTGGCAACTCTCCAGTCATAAAAACATTCAGGTTTGTGTTTGCTGGACAAAATAATTTTATGTTTCTAAATTTCAAGTTTCAATTTTCCTTCAATAATTCTTACGCATTTAACTTGCATTCAGTATTATTATGGCTAGTCAAATTTTAAATGGACAGCTCATAAGTAAAATGTAGCATTTTGTCATAGTAAATCGTTACTGATTATTAAAAATTAAAAACATTATTTCTAAAAACTTTAAATTTTAAAATATTAATAGTAAAATAAATAATAAAATAGTTGTAACAATGGACAAAAAATTAGAAAGAAAACAGTCTGTTAAAAATTTAAATATGATTTCAGTACTTCTCTTTTAGAATCTACTTATAGTTTACATGATTGTAAACACCAATAAGCACTTTTTGCACAAAATAGCTGTGAATGTATTGTTTATTTAAATTCAATTATTAAGGTACACAAATACTCATTTTAGATTCTAAAAAACTTGTTAAAAAATTAAATTTTATTTTCCTTAAAGTTTTAGCTGCTATAAATCAGCTATGTTCAAAATATGAATTCCATCTTTTGGGTAAATCCTATAATATTAAATTAAAAAACAATATTTTATGAAAACATTTAAACTTAAAAATAAAAGTGTCGTAAAAAGAAGTTTCACTAAAGAAAATATAACTTTTCCATACATTATTTGAAGCAACACATAAAAGATAAAAAATTATCGCTACCAATTCTGTTAAAAGTAAGATGGTAAAAACCCTAAATGGCTTTTTGTAATAGTTTTTTCTGCATATTCGTATTTTAACCCTAGTTTCAAATGATTGCTAAGAACTGCAACATGAAATGTGCTTTGCATGTGCTATTTTTCCATTTAGAACAATTTTCAAAAATATTTTTTTAATAATTAAAATAGCTCAAATACTTGTTCGTAAGAAAACAAATGTATTCTGTCAGTTTCTGTGACAAATATTGCTGATTTTTAAGGAAGCTTAGTATTATTTATTTATTTTCTAAATAAAAAATAGTACAAAAGAGCTTCACAAAAGGCCCACAGTCAAATATATGAATACGAGCATACACACACACATATATATGAGCGACAGCTCCTGGTAACTTTTTGGCGAGTTCACTACAATATATCTTCTTATTATTTCATAATTTTTGCAGCATATTGCGCAAAATATTTTTAAGACCAAATAGGTCTTACAACACAATGCTTATTAGCTTTTCAATTTCAATTTTATATATATACATATATATATATATGTAATAATAAAAGCAAAGGAAATGACGGAACACTGTAGATGCGTGATTAGACCCATATTGAAGAAGATTTTGATTGCGTAGTATGCTAGTAATGCCAACTTGGTAACATCTAAAGAACTTGGCAGTCGAGGCAGTTTTAATTCCATTTTTATTTCCAATTGATATTTGTGGCCACAATCACTTGGCACTCTAGTCGTGCCTTTCCACAGAAGATTTACATTTCTGATATTGTTGAGATAGAAAGCAAGCCAGCGAAATTACATCTTAGCAGAGTAGAGGGCAAAAGCTGAAGTGCGTAGTTATGAAAGATGGAAGCACGCGAAGAGAAAAGTTTGGTTTACAAGGTCAGTTTCAGTTCTTAATTATTACGTCATCAGAGTTGCGCGGGCCATAGAGTGATCTAGAAATGACGCAATGCAGAGAAGTTATTGAGATTTTTAGAATAGAGAGGGAGAATTAATGTTTTACCGTTAGCTTAATCATTATAATTTTGATCTCACATATATATATATATATATATATATATACTTTTAATAATACATAAAAAAATTTTAAACTTTAAGAAAAAATATACGCACAGTAATTTTTGTATCAAAGAAAAATTTCGAATTCAAACTCCACTGGGCAAAAATAAAGTAATAGTTCACTTATGGCTCCTAAGTTTTGATTGAGGCCTTTTAGGAATTTCTGTCATCATCGTTTCTGAGTAGCGCATGCTTGCACTGATGCACACAAATGGCCAAATTAGAGTTCATATGTTTCTTTCGCAAACATCTGAAATCTTTCTAATAACTAGATACAAAGCTCTGAAAAAGAAATATAAAGATAAGCTTTTAATTTCCTGCATATTTCGTTCGCGCATTGTTTCAGCACTTCTACAAGAGGAACTATATTCCTTCAATTAGCAGATTTGAAGTCCATAACATTTAAAAATATTTTAAATCAACTGAAATTAAGTGTAGGCAAATTATGATTTTAAAATATTGATTACTATATTTAAGATCATAAATACAAATACGAAACTCAGTAAGAATATATTAGGATTAAGTACAATTAAAATGTGAAATTTATTAGTTATGTTTGTTATTTTATAATGCTGAATGTTCCTTGAGCTAAGAACAGTTTTCATTTTTAGTGACGGATAAATTTAGGATTAACTATTCAAAAGTGCAGTGCACTTTATCTTCCAGCATTGCAAAAAAAAAAAAAAAAAAAAAAAAGTATAAGAATACGTGATTAAAATACAAATGACTATGAAACATTAAAAATTTTGAAAATTAATTATTTTGTTTTCAATTTATTTACTTAATTGTATAAAAAATATCATGATCATAAAAACTGTTCTGTAAGATAGTCAGTACTTTATATTTTTTGTTTTTAAGCTTATAAATAGTTATACTAGTCTAGATACGATTATTTTCCTTCGCAATGTACTCTAAATAACGTGCATAGCATTGGTCATCATTCATTAACATAACTATTAAAACAGCTACATGATTAAAAATAGCCAATTACTTTTTCTTTGTAAATTTAAAAACTAAAAAAAGGATATTATTACTTTTGTATATAAACCAAACTATTTTACATCTGATCAAAGTGCTGAATTATATCTGAAACCAATAAATTTTTAGCAATTCAGATGCGACACATACAGCAGATGACAGACTTTTGCACTAATCGCTCACGATTTGCAACTAGATTACAACTAGATACAGTCTTTTCTCATGTCACGAAATTCGGGATGATTGTACGTCGGACTTCAGTAGCATGAGACAGTTTAATACTCACCAATTTTCTTATCTAAGGCAGTTCAGTCGAATCATATGAATGCTTTGAGTAGCTAAATTACGAAAATAGTAAACATTGCACATTTAATTATGCATTAAAGCAGAAAAACATGAACATTAAGCAATGAAATATAAATAAACCATTTCTTAGTTACCGAAAATAAAACCCCAAAATATTGATTAAAGCATTAAAAGTACCCAAATCTGAATTTAAATGAAAAAGAGAAAGGAAAGGATTTTTCGAGTATAATATTTTTTATGACTGTGAAATCTAAACTTTGATTCTTGATCTGCAGTTAAATGGCATGAAGTTACTGAATGTTTTTCTCTTATTTTATTCCTGGCAGGCTCTATTATTTTAGTTTTCAGGTGGATTCGAAGCATGCGATGAATATTTACCTTGACGGACTGTCTTCGTAGAGCAATTTTTTAAAGAAAACTGTCTCATATGTACGATACACAAGGAAGAAATTCTATGCAGATTTTAAATAAATTCAAAATAGCGATTGGGCCCAAATTTTAACATTTCTTACTTCTCTTCTGGAAGGAATTTTTTTTCTTCTTTTCTTTTCTTCTTCTTTTCTGGAATGTTTTTTTCAATAATAAATGAAAGTCATTAAATTTGTTAAACGAAATCGATTTTACGTTTTCTAATTTTATGCACTGTAATACTTGAGAGAAAGGTAAGTCACCATTTTAATTTCAGTCACCCAATTTCACTCTATAGTTTGTAAAAATAATCACAATGGTGTCTCCTTTCATGAAGCAAGTGAGTTGGTGGCTGCATTGTACATATCAACGTTGATGTTCGCGTGATTTATACAAAATGTGTCCCAAATATTGTCGATTTGTAACATATTGCACTCATGTAAAATATATATATTGTACAAATAAAAGATATGGTGTTCATGAATATTTATCGTCTTGTTTTCATTTAATAGCAGAATTAACGGCACGAGTAACGCAATAAAACTATAAATTTTTGTCTTTTCACAGG